GAAAGAAAATAATAAAACCGAGATATGAAACAATTATGTCTTCCTTCCCTTTTCCTTCCTTCTGCCTATTTCACAAATTTGTCATTACAGCATTCTGTAAAGCAGCCATCTCTAAATTGACAGCCACAATACTGTTAGTCTTGAGGTAGCTGAAAATGAACTGCTTTGACAAACAACCTTAGCACGTAAAGAAAGAGAACAGAACACTTTCAGCACAGATTTAAGGAAGACTGAAAAGGGGGAAATGCCCCCATAATTTAAAAATAATAATTTGACAAAGCAAAGGTTGGGCTGAACGATGATGGGATTCTACCTTACTGAAAGGGTAAAGATGATTCCAGCAAAACGTGGATATTGAAGAGGAGCCATATAGTCATCAGAATAAGGATTCCATTATTTGTTGAATGAACAAAATAAAGACCTACCCAGACATTTAAAACAGGTGATGACCCCCCAAATAATGCCTTAATTCTTTCTTAGCAAGAAAGTTTCATAATTTGTATGTAAATAACCATTTTTAAAAAGAAAAATATCAAGACTGTGCCTGGGAACTTACAAGTAATATTTAAAGTGAATTAAAAATTACTATGAAATAGTAAAAGTTAAACCTTTTATTTAATAACTATTACCGGGGTTTTTTTGGAAAATTCTCAGGACAGCCAGATAGGTCAATATAATTATTGAGTCACATCAAAGTCCATGAACCAGAGTGATGACAAAATAACATGACATGGTTTAATACAGGACCATGCTGTAAAAGTTAACAGGTCTTAGAATTTTACTTCCATTCTTTACTCCAATATCTCTGCCAATCATATCCATTTTGTTGGCTTGATCACCTGCAACAGCTTTAGAGAATTCTGGGCTATGGAAATAAGTTTGTTTTGTGCAGTGCTTATGCTTAGGGCCAAGGAAGGAGCGAAGGGTGAGTCTTCAGGGCAAAGCAGGAGCCACTTGATCTGTATAAGTTAGAGTATCTATTTTGCAGCCAGAAGATTTGTTTCAACCTTGTGTCTACAGCTAATTACTAATACTGCACCTACAAAATAGGAGGCTGGGCAGAGACGATCAAGATAAGGATGGCCCAGAAGAACTCACAGGAGAGGAGACTAGTAGATAAATAAACAAATAATTAAAGTAAATATAGCGTAAGGCATGGTCTTAGAGGTGGTTACTCAATGCTTTGAACACTGAGGCTGAATAGAAGAAAATGCCATGTGTGAGAGAGAAGGGGTAGCAGAGAGAGCACTGACTGGGGATTCAGGCAGACCTGTGCTTTTGTCCCTCTACTGTTTTTGCTGGCAATAGCGGACTCTCCTCCAGGTTCAGTTTTTTTAATTATAACTCAGGGATTCTACCAGTGAATTCCTCAGGTCTGTCACTCCTTCATACGTTGTAATTTTGTGAAATACAAGAAAGCTCTGCTTCAAGTGGACACAGTCCAATGGGCTCGGCTCTGAGATGGTGATGCTATGTACTCTTTCTCTGAACCTCCTGCTACATCTGTGAGGTGATCCTAAACCTCAAGAGTGAACGTCCTTAAAAAGCACAGACCAATGCCATCACGGACAGACACTCACACAGCATGGCAGTGACTCAATGGCAAGTCTTCTCCCTCGCTCCCTATGCAAATTAGTATGGATTTATAGGAGCGCTGACACTTTAACTGAATTCTGAAGGATGCGACTTTTCAAGCAAGAAAAAAACCATTGCAATTATAATTTATATTTCAGTAATAAACCCAGGCATTTGAAGTGGGGGTAGCAACACGAGACAAAGAAGACAACATCTGAGCTATGTACTGAATGGGTGAACACGCATGATGGGAGCAGGACAGACAGGGCTTGCTTGAATTCGGTAAAGAAGTCATAGGTGAGGGAGAAGAAGTTATCATAGATAAGTTAAGGTAGCTAGACAAACCCATTTGAGAATGAAACAACACATTTCCAGAAGAACAATACCAGTTTTTCACACTGACTGGAGTTTCAAGGCAGCTGAGACACTGTGGGACACGGCAGACAGTCTGCTGCTGGACCTACGGGTTTGGGATTTACTGGAGTTCACAGGAAAGTAGTATAGAAAGATAGAATGCCTCAGGGATGGGCAACAGGGGAAGAAGAGGCTGGAGCCAGACGTCACTGGCGTGATCGACCTGGTGCTCCAGTCACAATTTATTCATTTGTCTCACAAATCTGAATCCAATTCACATCTCAGCCACCTCACTCCCCGGATTGCTCTAGAGTAACTTCCTCCTTTGTCGTTTTTACCCATAATAGAGAATTCTAATTTGGGAGCATAATTTGCAAAAGCAGATACATCTGACAGCATGGTAGAAACATAGAAAGGGGCAGTTCCTCAGACTGGTTGAAATCCTTCAACCAGAATCACCTGCTGCCATTATTTAATTAAACTATTGTATTTCTCTTAGATGTATGACTGCACTAAATAAACATCCAAATTGCTTGTATGTATGAGTGTAAACTTTTCTATAAATGGCATGCAACTGCAGGTAACTTTCACGTCTTGTCCTTTTGCCAGTGGGTCTGAATCCTAGTATCTTCCTCATTTGTACTGACCTGACCTCAAATCTAAAGTTTCATTATTTAGAGAAATGGCAAATAAATGCAAATGAGACTAATGAAACATATGAAATCAGAGACTTCACCAACAGCACAACATATAAACTAGAAGAAAAATATTTTAAAGGATGCCAAACAATGGAACAAATTTTATCATGCAAAATTTCAACCATATACAAATCCAGAACCATTCTGCCCAGCAAGCTCTCTTCGTTATCTTTAGTACTAGGAGCTCACATGGTATCCAAGTCAAATGAATGGAAGTTTTACTACTGAAAATTTTTCTTTCTTTAGGAAAGTCATTTACAGATGGAAGCACGTAAGACTCCAAGTAAAGGATTTTTTTAAAAAAGATTACCTTTCAGGATCTGACATCCAATATATTTAAAATGGTACAATTTAAAAAACAAATAATATGTTCTTGAGCCAGGCCAACAGCAGAACATTTCTTATCTTTTCTTAAAGAAAGAATTCCATGACTGTAGTTATCTAAATATCCTCTATGTCACTGAGATTTGAAGTCTACTGGGAAGCACTATTATTGCGTATTTTGCAACATATTCAAGAGTCTGAATCACCATCTGTTCTGCGATAAGTGTGACTCCTTGGTGGCAAATTTTTTCAATACTGGATTACTCAGTAAAAAGTTGGAATAGTTTAATTAGAAAGAATTAACCATAATTATTGGGTGTGGTCATCAAATTTCTAGTCCTATGAAATGGCTTGTTTCTCTATGGTTGGGTATTAGTAATACCTCCTCAATTAGAGTCACATATGAAAGGAGGCTTAGGACAACTGCAAGACAAAAATACATTCATCTAGGAAGATTTTAGAACTAAGAATGTGATAAACTATTTAGTTTTGTTCTTATAAAACTTTTTGGAGGGCTTTCTTATGTTTATTTTAAATGTAATATGTTAAAAGTCCCTTACTGATTTCTATCTTCCAAGTTTACCTAACAAGTATATTCATTTCTTAAAGACATTCATTAGAATGAAAATCTAATTGGAATTAGTGTTCTTCACGCATGATATAAATTAAGTATTCCCCTGAGTATCCTCAAAAATCCTTGCTCCATATTGAATTCCCCCTTCTGGACAGAGGCATGGATGACACATAAAGCTATTTTTGCAAGTGTATATAGCCTGAAGTGTACTTGAGTCTATCCATTAATACTCAATACTAAAGAGACCACATTCACGGGACACATGCTGCATATTTGACAGTGATACAAAAAACATTTATAGGATAGTATTACATTAGAAAGTGAGAAATAGTATTGGCACGAAGAGTATAAAAGCAAGCCAACTGCTCTTTTGAGCAAGGTCTTCATGAATTTCTGTAATAGGTGTGTGTTCATCCACAGTATCATGGTTGTTTTGATTTCAGATGATGACCTTCATCCACTTGCAACTCAATTAACAAAGGCAGAATTCTTTACAGAGAAGGTTATGTTATGTACAACTGCTTACTTGCTGACTGTCTAAGCACCAAATATCTAGGGTACATATAGCTGCTTTATGTTGAAAGATGTTCTTCTGCAAGTGCCATTTATGAGGACAGGCATTTGGAGGCCTTTGTAGAATCATGTTATTTAATACTTTACTCCCTTTCCCAGAAAAACAAAAAGGGAGAACCTACTCATATGAGATATTAAACACATCATTAGGAAAACTACAACATTAGAAGGCAGTGGGCACATGCTGCCAGTTCCCTGGATTAGGTAACATACTAACTATAGTTACATAAGATGTCATCACAGAAAACTGGGTGATAGATATATGGTAATTCTCTGTATTGTTTTTCCAATTTCTTGTCAGGGCCTGATTATTTCAAAATAAGTTTCATAATCCATGTCCTTTAAGTTTATACTAAAATGTGGCCCAGAGAATACTAATGGTATTTTTTTCCTATCAAAGAGAAATATGACTTATTGAATATAATAAAAACCTCAAGGTCAAGTCACAGTTATGTGTTTTGGCCATGCTACTTAGGATGGGTGGGACAAAGGCAAAGAAGTTCCTTAAATTTTAAATCCAAGGTTTTTTGTTTGTAAAATGGGGCTATTCCTAAGGTTATAGCAAGGAAGAAAGGATTCTTTTCCACTTAAATATTAAGCAGCAAGGAGATACCAACAAGATTGGAGAAGTTAAGAAAATTAATTGCTGGCCAGTATCATTCCGTAATAAGTGGCTCCCTGTACCACAAATATTCTATGGCTAAGTAACACCTCTTCAGTCCCAGGAGAATTAAGAACAGATGCAACTGCGGAGGTGAGAGACATTCCATCCTCTAAGAGTTAAAGAGCAATACGTTCCATGCATGTGAAAACTGGGGATTTCCAATACAGAAATCACCCCGACTTCTCCTCCAGGCGAAAATGTATTTACAGACACAGCATGAAAAGAAGTGCTTACTTACCAACTTCATCCTGAATCTCCTCAGCCACAGCAGGGACATTGTAGAGCAGGGAGAGAGACTGGTTCATGCGCTCATAGATCACACGGAGGTGTGTCATAACCTGCGCCCAAGGAAGTGAACTCCAGGTAAGCACTCTCTGGGGTAGCAATAGTTATTTTCCTCAATAAGAACAGCAAATGAAAAGTAGCAAAGTGTTTAACTGAAAGGAAATTTATCTATCTGTCTACTTTTAAAAGTTGTTCTCTAACTTGCAGCTCAGCTCTAAGACTTATCTTTACACTTAGTAATATTCATATAGTAAATGCTTACAACAATTAATTTAAAAGACAACCCATGCCATCTTTGATTTCTAATATCAAGGCTTCCTAAATAGCCGCTGCTATCTTAAATGTATGTTCTTGTAAACTTTCTGACAGACAGAACATTTCAATTTGATTGGTCATTTTGTGCTAAGTATAATAAATATTTTAAAATTTCAGATTTCTCATGGTTGACCTCCATTTTTAACTTTTCAGAACCAGAGTATAGAGTGTATTTCTGGCTCACATTATATCCAAACATTGTGGTGGCAATGGAGTTTCTGCCTGCCTGCCACAGTTTAGTTGAGCCAGTATAGAGGTTTTCTTTTCCTTTTTTGGTACCAGGGATCGAACTCGGGACCTTGAGCTTGCAAGGCAGGTGTGGGGTCACTGGACTAAATCCCCAGCGTGAGGTTTTCTTTTCTTTGTTGTGTTGGACAGTTTAAATGGCTCCTTGCATCAGCTGAAATTTTTATATCCCCTATCATTTGCCTAACTCAGAAGATAACAAGCTACCTTCTACACTAGGATAAGCTTTGAGAATTTGCCAGCCATTAAAGAGCTCCTGCCATAGATACCATGTCCCTAAGGGGTTCTGGGAACACCTAAAGATTCTACAAGCATACAAGAAGCAAGAACGCTGGAATGTGAAAGCTGTGATGACTATGACCCTCAGGGCTTACCTGGGATCGGATCTGTGCGGCCTTCTTGGGATCCACCATGCGCACGTGTTCAAAATGCTTCAGAGTATGCTGCCTGTCTTTCTGCTCAGCACGAACATACTTCTTCAGCATGTTGAATACATGACGAGGCTACAGGGAAAAAAAGGGGAGCATTTTGTTCAAGTTTACCTATAATACTTCTTCCATTCCATTCTTCATGGGTAATTACTTAATGGGGGCACTTTTTGTTTTTGCCTACAAGACCATTTAGCATTTTTGACATCCATGCTGATTGTCCTCCTTAATCAACATTTTCTTCTCAAATGGGCATATTCCAGTATGGAAGGAGAATAGGTTTTAGATCCACCACGTTTCAATGAGTTCCTTTTCATTCCATCAGAATATTGAGGGGATAACGTATGAGGATATCTTCTACATTCTACAGAAGTAACATTACAGAAAGTAATAACATCCCAGTAATATAAAGGTACAATAATAGAAATAAGCAAAGTAATAGGAAATTTAACTCATACTCATTTGTAGGTGAAAGAACAAAGCTCTGAGACTCTGTATTTCTTTAGGAGAAAGACCATTGCTAAATCGTAGTTATTTTACTTTGCAATTCAATTAAGTTCTTGTTAAGCCATCAGATTCTGCACTGTTTCAGCAACAATTAAGTTTCTTCTGAAGTGCTCCTACTGTTTTTTAATTGGTTTGGTTTTGTTCTTATTCCAGTTGTACATGAAAAAATTCATCCTAATAGAAAAAAGGACTGAGGTCCCTTTGTCTTCAGCAATTCCATGGCTATTTGCATTCTACTGTGTGATTTTTAGAACGATACACATTTCTTCATTAAAACAAAATAGTCACCTATGAATGTTCATATCAAGAGTAGAAGTGTGGGCCATTTGTGCAGACCTACTCACTATTAATTAATGTGTCATGGGCATCTTGAAAAACCAGCTGGGAGGTCTAGAATTTGCTCCCAGAGATGGTGTGTGTTGTTTTTCATTGTGCTTTGCATATTCTATGGGATGAGCCTCTTCTCTGTTGACTTAGGGGTCATCTCCCTACTACCTCAGGTAAATTTGGTGCGTTTTCTCTGTACTAGGCTAAGATGTTGCACAAATCTCTACTGCTACATTTGGAACAATATGTTGAACTGATTATGTTTCCAAGAATGCCTTATGTGAGATCTGCAAGCCCAGATGTGGTTGGTCTTAGTCTTTTTCTCTATTGGGAACCCAACCAGTGGTGCCTGGCCCAGCAATGAGGCTCCATCCCTGTTTGTGCCTGACACAGACTCCACACTCCTATACCTGAGAAAGCCAATGAAAACATACAGTGAAAACAAAAGAAACCTGCATTCATCTGCCTGATTGATTTCCTTTCTTTTTTCCTTAGAAGAAATGTATTCCTCCATACGCCCAAGGAAGACAGACACCACAGCTTGAACCATAGCTTTCGGCAAGCATATCATTACAGTTCTCATTTGTACTGTGACATGTGGTTGAATCTACAAATCAGAGAATAAACTTTCCAATCTTAGAAGAAGAAAAGCAGCAAAAGAGATCACGGAGATAAGCTATAGCAATACAATATATATTTAAAAGATGACAGGTTTATGTAAGCTAACTTAAACTAAAAATGTCAGAAAGTAAAAGCTGACTACTATTCATTGTGAGGGATATTGCATATTGCAAGACTATGTGATCAGGATATCCTTGATGTTTGCTCATTATTAAGCACTAAGGGCTAAGAACATCCCCCTAGTACTACTACTATTATATCTTCAAGGCTGGAGAGAGGGTGGCACTATTGCATTTATCCTTGATGTTTCTGCTGGCCCTTACTAATGGAACTCATTGGCTTACTGTGTTTTCTTAGTTGCTTTGTTTCATTTCTCTCTCTTGAAGTCTTATTATTTTGAAGAAAATGGAATTTTTTTTTCCTTTTCTGCACTCAAACAAGAAAACATACTTCAGGTATAAACATCAGGACTGCTTGTCTTCATAACCTTTTTTCCCCTCTTCCTGGTTAACCACCTCTGAATGTTTCTATGAGGTATTTTGGCCTGAAAAGATGGCCACCAACAAGCAAGTACAGGATGCTACAAGCCCTCTCTGGCCTTGATGTTACATCAAGCAAATCTCAGTTGGAAGAATGGGGAGAGGACACGCTTGTTGACTAGCATCTGGTTTCTTCCTCTTTTTCTTCCACTCTCCATACACCATTCATTCTCATTTGCTAATTATTAATGTTAACTTTCACTTTAAAATAAACATGAAAGTCTCAATTTTCCTATCTTTGCAATTCAGACAGTAATGTCTTTCAAAGTGAGAGTACTGGAGAATTAAAAATGTTCTGTGTTGTTACCCAACAGAATGCTGGGTTCATTGCAGATACTCAATACATATATATTTCTTCTACTTAGTCCTTGCCTCCAATTCCTACCCCACTGCCTCTAAGTGACAACAGTTCAACATTCATTGGTTTTTAGGAAGGAGATAGTGTCTGAGGTGCTTTATACATGGTAACCCATCAAATTCATCGCAGCCCTATCACAGGGAGAATTTATCTTTCCACCTTTCAGATGAAGCACAAGGAGCAATAAGGCTGAGATTACAGAGGTTACATGCTGGCCTACAGTGACACAGTAGGTCAGTATTGGGCCACAGAGCCCCTTCTACTGATCACTAGGTGATCCTGCCTTCCAAGGAGAATCTAACATGGACCAAGCTAAAGACAACTCTTCAAAGTCACTAATAAAGACTTGACAAAGACACAACTGCATAGTTAGAAATGAGAGTGTGTTCTAGGGGTCCTGCCTAAATTTCTAGTTCTTTTAAAAGAGCTCAGGTACAGCAGTCACCCCTTATCCATGGAGGATATATTTGAAGACCTTCAGTGGATGTCTGAAATCTCAAAGAGTAATGGATCCCGTGTAGATAGATTATTATTTTTCCTATACATAAATAGCTAAGATAAAAATTAATTTATAAATCAGTCACAGGAAGAGATTAACAATAATAAAAAGTAATGATAACATCTTGTAATAAAAGTTAACACTTACAAATAGTCTATTTCTGGAATTTTCTATTTAATAATTTTAAGTCATATTTTGCTGAGGTAAAAAACATCACAGAAAAATAAGACAATTCATAAGGGAGGATAACAGTAATACCGTATTGGAGCATACTGATATCAGCTCTTAATTGTGCAGAGCTGTCAGATTTAGCCCGTTCAATCTCTCATTACTATCTTTGATTTTTGGCACTTGGCTATTCTCAGCTAATGTCTCAGAGGTAGGGAGAAGAAACAGCAAGACAGGCATGTCCTCTATCAATCTGATTGAAGATTACTGGAGAGTGATTCAAAGTATTAGTTAGAAGATGGGCTTCAGTGACACTCATGGATTCTAGCACTGAATTCACTGTTATCTTGGATTAAGATGGGTAACTACAAATATGTCTTCTTGTTTTCAAGTGCTTATCTCATTCAACACTGCCATCTCTTTATGCTTCAGAAACACATCTAGAAATACATTCTTAACTTACCCTGAAAATCCTGTGTTTTTGATCATGAAACGCTAGCATGCTACGCTGTGAGGATTCCCCAGGCTTCACTTGCTGCAGGGTTAATGAGCCCTGGGAACCCAGAATAAGCTCTGCCCTCCTCATTGTGTGTGGGCCCAGACACACGCTGTGTGTGCAAATACATCAACAAAAGCGTTTTCTTCCTAGTGTCAAATTGAGAACAAGCAAAGCCTAGGGACATCAGATAATTCAGAAGACTTTAGCACAGCCCTCAATAAATGAGCTGCATGATTCTGCTTGGTTGCTCTAACCATGTAAACACATTTCTAGCAATCATGCTTAGAAATGAAAAAGAAGAAACGGATTAGCACCTGTGACAGAGTTGTTAGATAAACAAACAAACAAAAAAAGGTGGTTGTGCCTGCCTACATCTAAAAAATGAACACCATTTTTAGTTAAGAAAAACAGCCTTCTTTTCCTGTATTTTTATATTTTCATTTACTTTCAGTTGAAAGTAAAAAGAGCTCTGCTTTTGGTGTATGATTCATGTATATTTCATTAAAAAAATTATTGCCTCACAACTTTGCAGCCCAAACAGAGAATCCTCATGGCTGAGAACTAATTATTTCTAGAGCTATATTATTTTTTCAGAGTAACAGGGAAACGATTATCTGGGGAGGTTTATTATACCAGAACAAAGATGAATTTCCTAAATTTTAATTAAAAGGCAGAAACATTCATACAAGGATGGTAGGGAAAAAAACTGATATCTCTATAAGAATTTATCGTTATCTGTAAGGATATAGAAATAATTTCTTTTTCTTAAAATAACTGCTATTAAATGTCAGAGTACTGCCATATCATTTACCTTTAAGGTTAGATTATCCATGCTAAGAATATTGTTTAAAAAGTTTAAAAAACACTTTTTAACTTGTATGTATATAATTTCAATTGCCCTCAAGTTTTTAGATTTTCCATAACTAGCAGTAATTTTTCTAGCAAATTCCTCTTGCTTTATAGTCAAGAAATTTGTATATTAATGTTAAAATCTCATAGCGATGGCACTGGAGGGCTAATCTGAAACTTACAGTGAAGAGTAAAGAAAATGGAAGATCTTCCCTGGGGAAGTAATTATATGCAATCCTTTTTATTGTCATTACTGTTTTTGAAAGAGTATTTATCTCTGAATCATATTGGTTATTAGCAACCAATATGGCACATTTCAGTTTGCACTAAATTCACCTTGGAATCACACTGTCCTTAAAAAAAATCATTCAAAATCAATTTTTTAAAGAACTAACAACAGGCATTATTAAAATGGATTAGATATCATCTACGAGGAGAGAAAAAAGGAAAATAATTAACCTGAGAATAGAAGATCCACTTTTTGAGACATGAATTATTTTCCTCTTTGGGAACAAAAATGTAACTCATTTCTACCTGCTGCTACCTTTCTTGGCACGATCTGGATGCTAATAAATATCGGTTAATTAAATTAAACAATGACCTAAAGCTAAATACAATTTCAGAAATGGTTCCAGGAGAGTAGAATATTCTTCATGTACTTTATTCAGGACAATACGCATCTCTTTGATTAGAAGGGCAGCATTCCCA